CTGCAGGCAATATAAACGCCACACCACATGCCCCACCCCCGCTTACTGGATGAAACCCCGGCTTTCTTTGAAAATAGCTATTGGGTAAAGCATAAGAAGTAGATTTCCATAAAAAGGTGAGAACACAGCTGCCCGCTGATAGGCGGGCGTCCGGCAGGTCATGAAATTTGATTCTCGAAGTTTCTAATCCCTTCTCTTTCCTTTAGTACGACACAAACTACCGATTGCGTCCCACATGTGACCCTCACCTCGGCGTCGCAAAACACCAGCTCAGTTTCCCAAGACATGGTGAAAGATTATACTTGAGCCGAATACTAAACAATTAAATATTTTACCCTGGCCTCATGAACGTATTATGAACTTTTCTTGTGGCCAACATGCAAGGATAACAAAACTTTATCGTCCTTTTGTAACTACAGCCATTACTGGCTTTTGTAATGCTGAATTTCCAATGTAGCAGCATCTATAAGCACATTTCACATCATAGAATGGAAGTATCATGCCCAATCATGAAATTAAAGAAGTTGAATTGGCCGAAAAAGGGAAGGCAACCGCCGAAGAAGTTCGAGTCAAGGACTTCCTCATTTTTAGGAGATGAGACTGGGCTACGAGGAAGAGACACCGAACGCAGAGGGTAGATAACCGAAAAAGCACATCAGACGAGAGGAAGCAGACACTCGCTGCCTAAACCGTCGCATTGATCGGCCGGTAGCGGGAGGAGCATGGTTTCAGAGCACTTGTCGTACACCTTCAAGCCATACACTGACATGTATTCTACTTTTGTAAATAGCTCTACCTTTCTGACGGGAGCGATTGATTCACTCATGCTTACCTTATCGGATTTCAATCGTGGAAAATGCCTTAGCGTGTTTCGCTATGCTGGTACCCCACGTGACTACATACGTAGTACAATGGGAAGATGCAAGAATCTAATCCGCTCGCCTGTTACGCACACACGGGCCCGCTGTGACTAGTGAATGAAATTATCTTGCAACAGTGCGTAGACGCTAGTGGAAGCTCTGCAAATGCTTTCGTTGGAAAGAAACGCACAAATCGGATTCCCTGCCTTGTAGGGTCGCTTTGAAGAGAATCAGTAATTGAAAAAATAGCGGAGAGGGCCACGACTTCTTTATCAACAACTCTTTATACAGGTCATGTGTGCAAAACAAAAAATAATAACAATCTGGAACAAAACTAACAATGCTACAATGTTCACTACCTATTTTAACAACTCATGAATAAAAGCAAAAAAGCATATTTAATATTTGATAACATTCTTATTGCTCTAAACCCTCAAATGCTTTAGCAGCAGGATTATCCTTAGGCGAATTAGAATAGTCGGGTTTCAATCGCTTTTCAGCATGTTCGCCATATGGATTGAAACCTAATCGCTCCATTTCTGCCTTCATCAACTTCTTCCTGTTTCGAGGATTCTGAAGTAGATAATAAATAGTGCGATCTCATATGATGAGCTATCAGTGACTACCTTCTCTTCCTCCGTCATAGGTGGGAGATTTTCAATAAACACGCCAGTTCCTACAGTTGTCGTTCCTTTGCGGATAGTAAATCGCTGTTGAGGTTCGATGAACATCTTTTGACTGAGGTGTAGTTCAACTCTGAATGATCACATTTGTATAACCAACGTCACATTCAATCTAGATAGGGATACATACTCAGCAGCTTCTCCTGGCATTACGAAATCCTTGTCGTGAATCTTGAGTAAAGCAGTAGCGTCCCATGTGAGAGAGAACACGTGCTCGGTAAAGTAGTTAGCCAAAGGAACTTTCGATCCACCCTCAGAGGGTTTCAGAATGTACAACTGAAATGTAAAAAAAATGAAGTCTTAGCTCAGATATTGTCAATCAAAAGCGTAAGAAAGCGAGGTGAAGAGATAATGATAATGAGACGCAGTCGAAGCGTACAATAAGTTGGAACGTACTCCCTGTAACAGCCTCCAAATGACCCACAGTCAACGCCTAGTTTAACAGTGAAAGATCACTCCCGTTACAGAAGTTCGTTCTGCGCTAGGATAGTAAATAAAGTCGAAATCCTGCAGAATCCTACTTTCGAGACTCACATGAAAACGTTTCAAAAAAGTTATGGCCATTGAAATGGTTAATTCTTGCTAGCAAAAGTTTTACGAAGCGTAAGGTGTAGACGTTTATGGTGATGAAGGATGGAATGATGGACGAGGACGAGGATGGAAGAGGACAACAATAGGATAAGAAGAGGATAAGAAGACTCCCCTATATAAGTGCCCCCGGTGTGGTAATAAACATTCTCAACTCCATTGTCCTGTCGTCTCAACTGTAGTGTCAATTTTTCTATAAGGGAATGGGAAAGTCTTTGCGCTTTCTACAGGATTTAAAGTCGCACTTATGAGGCCTCTCATGGATGACTTATAACTTAAAGGGCAGTTGCAAGATTCATGAACTAGTCAATCCACATTTGTTAGTGTAGGGTGGGTTACGACTGAAAATTGTAGTAGTCCGCATTTGGTCCGTGAACGAATCTGTAGGGGAAGAAAGTGCTGACCGTGTGTTTAGGAGAGATTACAATTTTCCAATGAGGTTCCGAATTACTTACTCGATTCAGGAACTGTACAACTTGTCGCTCCAGCACCTCTCGGAACATCTGACGTTTGTCTTCTGCACGTCAAGCGTTATACGACCAAAACATTGCGCTGTATGTGCTCTGCCCGTAGGATTCTTAGCCGTGGCCCGTTGATAACGTTGGCCTCGCGTGGGCAATTATGTGTACCTCTCGACCCGCAATGAGGACGCAACAGAACGTTAAGCAGTATTCGCTTCATGAACAACAAGTGGCAGCGAGCAAATAACATGGCAATTTCGAACATTTTTGCTTAAATCATAAGCAACAAAGTGACCGATATAGAGACGAGCACGGACGAGACCACTAAAATCTATTGAATTAATCACCGGTGCCTTCCTTGTCTGTCGCTTTGTGTTTACTGACCCTTGCGGCAGAGATAACGCTCATAACGTCGAAGTTGTTTCCGGCGCTCCTAAGAGCACAGGAACCGTTTGCGAGTAAACCAAGTTGATTCCCGGGACTCGAGCCTGTCTTCTTCTTGATCCGTCGTTGGCGGTAAAGATTCATTCTTGGTAAGTCTCATTACACAAAGCAAGGTACAGAGGAACATTTGTCGCGCCTGCTTTTTGTAAAACGGGTGCGGGATATCACGGAACCTTCACATTTTCTTCGAGGCGCTATGTCCGAGTTATTCTCTCGAAACTCTCTAGCACCACGTTTGCAGTCTTCCTCTTTCCAGTTACTCGTTCTACTCGCACTTCCCTAGTACTTTCTTTAGAGAACACTATAAGGGAGTAGGGACCCAAACAAAGGACCTGCCTCCAATCTCAGATTATTCATAAGCTTGAATTCGAAGTCAGACTGTGGCACCTCTCAGCAGCAAACATTGCTTCAGTATTTACAACTCTTTCAGGAATAACAAACTTTTCGTCGAGAATATTAAGTAACTGCTTGATTGATTCTTCTCCAATTTCTGGCTTTTTTCCTTCGAGCGCACACAAAGCAGAGCCAAAAACAACCTGAAAACAAGGAAGTACTCTCTCCCGAAATACTAAAGGAGCAAAATTAAATGAAGAACAACTCCACGAAATTATCGTTTACGTGTCGCAGTCAAGCTACTACCGTCCCAATGGACTGCAAAGGAAATTAAGGGACCCCATCCACATACACATGTGCGTTCAAGGCAGAAACGGGCATGGAATGGAAAAGTCTCTGATAAGCGGCCCTTTCTGAGAAGTTCCCCTCGTCCCCTTGATTCAGTGACAACAAGACTCCTATGAAACTTCTCAGAGAATCTCAAAATACGAATGTTAAAAATATTTGACGGACCCTCCCAAGCTGACTGCTCCTGTACGACACAACTGAACAGGCCAAATCCACCCCTCAAAAAAAAACAAATAAGCCAAAAAACCAAAAACACTAACCGGAGCTGAATCACCCGGATATTCAAATTCGTTGAGCAGTTCGCGAATCTCCATTTCAACAAGTTCGCGTGTCTCCTGATCCGGAACTTCGTCAACCTAGACAATATACCTCTTTTCTCAGTAATTTATAGTTTTATACTGATAGTACCTTATTTAGATACACAGCCACGTTCTCACGCGGAATTCCTACTTGACGCGCGAGCAAGAGATGTTCACGGGTCTGAAATGTGAGCATTATGTAGATAATAATGGAGTCAGAGTACCGGATATTTTAGGCCGAGAAACCTCACCTGTGGCATAGCTCCATCAGTTGCAGCAACGACAAGAATGGCACCTTCCATTTGAGCTGCTCCAGTAATCATGTTCTTGATGTAGTCAGCATGGCCAGGGCAGTCAATATGAGCGTAATGGCGTTTGGCGGTCTCATATTCCAAATGAAATGCGTTAATTGTAATACCTGAAGGAGCTTTTCGTCGCTGATATAGTAGAAGAAAGCATTTGAGGACGTCATTCAACATTTTGGGCAATACAACGGGAACATCAATTGAAAACTGGCTAGGTGATTAAAATACGGCGGTGTTCTGTGTTCATACCTCTGGCCTTTTCTTCAGGAGCGTTATCAATATCTTCGTACTTCCGGAACTTAGCTCCTTTCGAGGCAGCCAATACTGCAACACAACTGAATTATGAAAAAAAGCAAAAAGAAGTAACGAAATTACTCCCTCCCCTAGGCTTAGTCTTAGGCGCTGTAGGTGAGAAAGCTTAACAAAGCAGAAAGTATGCGTTAAACAGCACGAATGTCGCAAAACGAATGTCATATTCGTGATCAGGGCCCCAAATAACCCCTATACAGAAGTTTACAGCGAATTTGTGATAATCAGTTGTGGCGCCAGCGCCAAAAATAGGATGTCATATTATGATCAGGACTCTCGATAACCCCCATAGCAGAAGTTTTAACGAAAATTATTTTTTGACCCATCTCGCTGCCTTCTGGGGTTGTAATAGTGCAATAGTGCCTAAACTTCAGTCCTTACTCCTTATTTTCTCCTTTTTTGAATGGCTAGTACAAAAGTCACGTGACTAGTCCTTTTGTTATTTCG